AGAAACCAATCGGCTAACAATGATATAATAGAATAAGTGATCCGATGGTTAAAGCATACATTGGTTTGAGGTCCAATGTCATTAAATCCAAATGATTAAATAAACAATGAAACCTCGATTATCATTGGCTAAATCCAATTTCTATGCAATCCTTATAAGCCGATGCAACGTCTAGATAACTTATCGGCTGAAACCCCGATGAAACCCTTATTGGCAATCAAAGGTAGGTTAGTTTTTATGGTTCTAAGCACGAGTAAGGTCGATGCAACTCAAAGTATGCAAAAAAAAAACATAAATTTCAGAGACGTCAGACAGACTTGACAAAAAGTTCAGAGATGTCAGGGGAACTTATTCCCCCTCCCACCTCCCCCCCCCCCCCAAAAAAAAGAGGAATGTGGAATGTGCTCCACATGTGGACTCTCGGAGTTTGTGCGGTATTATTAGGGGTGGAAACGAGCCGAGCCAATCCTGGCTCGGCTTGCAGTGGCTCGCAACAAACTAGTCTTGCCTTGGCTCGGCTCAGTTAGGGAAACAAGCTAAAACTTGAGCTCGGCCCGGATCCTTTCCTGGCTCGAGCCAGCTCGAGCTAGCTTGCAAGCCTTCCTATTGAAACACTTCTTCATATATATTTTGTAATTATTAGAAAAAGCAAGAACAAATCATCAACATGTAAAATTTAAATAAGTTTATATATTCAATTCTTCAAAATCTTAATGATAAATTTCAAGTTGTCAAATAATAACTCCATAAAAAGTTAAGTAATCGATATAAACACATAATGGGCTAGGCTCGCGAGCCAGCTCGTGCTTGGCTCATTTCAGCAACGAGTTGAAAAGGAGGCTTGGGCTGGCTCGTTTGGTTAACGATCCGAGCCAAGCCAACCAAGCTCGAGCCAAGTGTTACGCCCCGAAGTTTCCCCCTTTGTAGCTTTAAAATCCGTTTAATAAATTGCCTGAAGAAATGGTTTAATTTAACCTAGAGATGAACCTTAATCAATAAATGCGATTAATAATTGGAAAGGGCATGGTGGGATTTTTCTTGAGTTCACCATGCCACAATACATTAACAGGATTTTTAGCGGAATTTTCAGAGCCTCGAAAATAATTTTAACCAATTATAATCAATTCTATGCAATATATAAATCCCAGGAAAATCCTTTTCCTTTTTCCTCTTTTTCTTTTCTCTATCTTCCTTTCTTGGGCCGTCGGCTCACTCCTTAGGCGCCTTCCCTATCCTTGCTGGGCCGGCCCATGGCCGTGTCCCATTCGGCGCCGCATCCTTCCGTCTTAGGGTCACCAACTAGTTGGGGCCACCTGTTGGCCCCTTCTTCCACCTCCAGCCAGCGGCAACCGCCGCTGCTGTCCACCTTCTCCGCCTTCCGTGCCCCACTCCACACCGCGCCCACATCACTGCCCACTACTCCGATTTTCCCGCACGCGCGCCTCCCCGCAATGGCCGAATTTGGCTTCGAATCCCCTCCTCTCTCTCTGCACCTCCCCATGTCGCCGGCGCAATAGGCCACCCTCCTGGCCACGTCCGCCTCTCCCTCACCTATAAAACGCCTCCCCCGAGCCCCATTCTCTTTTTCCGCGCTCACCGCCTTCTCCCGCGCTCTTCCCACGCCAACCCGAGCTCCGCCGCCCACCGTCGATCTCTGACCGCCGCTAACCGCCGCTAGAGCTGCCGCCACGCCATGCCAACACTGCCTCTAGCTTCGCCGCTGCGAGAGCTACCTCGGCCGCCGCCTCCCGTCGCCGGAACCCCACCAAAACCCCATTTCCCTCGTCCTCCGGTGAGCCCGCCATTTTTCTCCATCTCTGGCCAGCGATGCAAGCCGTCGTGGTCGTCCTCTCCACTACTAATCCCTCTCCGCTCTCTCCTTAGGTGTCGTCGGCGCCTGTCCGCCCCTTCGCGTCGGTGGGTCGTCGCTGCCGCCTTCATCTCCCGCTCCGGCCGCCATGCTCGCCGGGGAAAACCCCCTCCCCCTCCTTTCTTCTCCCTCTCCCATGTGCGCCGCTGCTTCGGGCATGCGCCACCGCCTTCCGCTCCGCCGATCGCCACTGGTGACCGTGCCGCCGCCCTCGCCATAGCCGGTCGGCCAGCTTGAAGCCGAGGCCGAGCCTGGCAACTGCTTCCTGCCGCCGTCCGATCGGCCAAAGGCCGATCTGGAACGTCGGTCCCGTGGATCGGCGGTGGACCGCCCACGTGGTCCCGGTCCACGGTGGACCGACGTCCTGGTGCCGCTATCAAATGGGGCCCACTAGCTGGCGCCACTCCCCCCTCCCCGAGCCACTGACATGCGGGGCCCGCTTGCCGGCACCGCCCCCTCCTTTGCTGACGTCAGTCCTAGGTATTACCGTGCAATAAATCAATTAAGGCTTTTCCATTTATAGTAAAAACACAGATAATCTTCTAAAAATCATAACTAATTCATCCGAGCTCCGTTTAAGTCCATTTAAGTCTCAATAAATTCATAAAAATCCCTAGAATCCATTAAAATGGTTTTATTTCCTGTTTCAGTAGACTTATAGCATGTTTTGCTTGTGTGCTTTGTTTGTCACATAGATTCCGGTCGTTTCGTCGCTCCGCGATACCTCAAGTTCGTTGTAGAAGTCTCATAAGTGCGAGAGCAAGGCAAGTCATGCATTACAATTGATCATATTGTACTTGGTTTACAAATGTCCCGCTTTCTATTAAATGTTGCATTATTTTACAATGTCATGTGGGATGGATCCTATTACTCGGCCATATATTGTTTCCCTTATGTCATTGATAACTTGGGTATTAATTTGATTAGATGTTGGTTTAGGAAATGGTTAGCCATGCTTAGATCCACTAGTTCACATAATGTGATAATTACATTATTAGACACTTAGTACCATGACGAGCTGCGTGCTCGAGACATCCGACCATGTTTCATTAGTCGTAATTATCCAATTAAAATGTGACTGAATGGTGGGCTGTGGGTGCATGGTTTTGCTGGTCGTACCCATAGCATTTAAGTACCGGTTCACGGGAAACCCTGGAAGACTTATTGTGCTTACCACAAGCGGGAGTGGGTAACTGCTTAACTTGTAGTATAGCTTGACCCTTTCCTAGGCACCGGTGGCGAGGGTGGGCGTGATGGAGTTGGGTCAGCCGGGGTGTCCGGTTGTCCAGCTTCCAGATTCACCGCAGCGCACAGGGAGACTGCCCACTGCCTGTTTAGGAGTGGGGGTGAAACCTCATCATGGTGTGGATGGTTAGGGGAGGGTTATGCGATGGGTCTCGTCACGATTTCCCCCTTTGCAGTAACATAGTGGTACTGCAGGACATGGCAACATGTGTGGAATCGTGTCTTGTGGGTACAGTTGTACAGCTCTGACCAAAGTAAAACTATTCGAATAGCCGTGCCCGCGATTATGGGCGATCAACCAGATTCACCGTGATTAGTCCCATCCCTAATAGTTGGCTTGATGAATTGGTGTTGTTTAGGTGGTTGGTTGGGTCTGTTGCAACGTGGTGTAGCGTTGGACAATGATGATTAATATTGCTTAATTTACCTCAACAGCTTTACTGCTTTTAAATGCCTGCTTTATGCAAATGAACCTTTAGCCTCCTTTGGATACATCTTGCATCATACCTCCTCTTCCGGTATGATTTACTGAGTACAGTGGGTAGTACTCGGTCTCTCTCTTCCCCACACCAGAGCTGGAGTTTTCTCAGCTGGAGCTTTCTCGAAGAAGTCGACTTCGTCGCTGCCGTCAAGGATGCCCGTGGAGTGGAGTCGTCACGCCGCCGAGTCAAGGATCCATGCGAGAGGCAGCAATTAATAAGGTGCAATTAATAGGGGCAAATTAGTCTTTAATGTTAAAATGGTAAAACTTTACCATACATCTGAACACCAACTTGTAAAATTCCAATATCAAATCTTTTGCCACCAAAACTTTTGCAAAAAAAAAAAAATACCGGAGCAAATTTATCTAAACATGGCCTTGTTCATTTCATCGTTCTTCGTTAGTTGTCATATACAAATATCCATAAATGACACAGCAGTTATTGTACTGAGGTAACCTAAGAAAAACAAGATTGCTCTTCGGTTGGGTTAATCTTAATTTCAGGGTGTGTTTAGTTTACGAAAAGAAAATTTTTAGATGTCACATCAGACGTTTGACCGGATATCGGAAGGAGTTTTTGGACATGAATGAAAAAACGAATTTCATCCTGGAAACCAAGAGATGAATTTATTAAGCCTAATTAATCCGCCATTAGCATTTATAGGTTACTATAAAATTTTTGGCTAATCATGGCCTAATTAGGCTCAAAAGATTCGTCTCGTGATTTCCAAGCAAACTGTATAATTAGTTTTTTAAATTTATATTTAATGTTTTATGCATGTGTTAAAGATTCGATGCGAACTTTTTTGGAAAAAAACTTTTAGGAACTAAACACGGCCATTAATAGAGAGCGTTTGTTTGGTTTCGGTGGACTGGAATTTGATTGCGGGCAGCCCAACGAAAAATTGATACCATCGAGGTCAGGCCCATGGGTTAACCCTTCCCCGGAGCTTGGAGCACCGTCGCCATCGCTCGCGTCCTGCCCGCCGACGCCGCCACCGCCGCTCGCCGGAGTCCCCCCGCGCTAGATTGGGCCGACCAATCGGCTCCACCGTCCTGTGCCCTCTGCAGCAGCCTCCGCCTGATCTGGTAATCTCTCGCCTCTGTTCTTGGATTGCTGCTGCTTCTTGCGTCATGCGCGATTCATCCCCTCCCCCTCACTCCAATCCCACACTAATCTGCGTCTGAGCTTGGAATCCGGTGAGTCCCATATCTTCAACCCCTCGCTGGATTCTAGTGGTGGAGCTGGATATATCTCAATCGATAAACCCTAGTATTAACTTGCTTTATTCCTCATTTTGTAATAAATAAATAAATAAATAAACAAATAATCTTGACTCATCCTAATCCAGAGTTATTTTTGTGTAAAAATGCTAGTGGTCTCCATTCACTGCATCGCCATTGATGGGTAGAAGGGGGTAAGAAAGGCAGGTCAGTGGTGGGTCACAACCAGAGGCCTAAACCCGGTTCCAATTTGGAGGGGGTACAAACGCGCAAGCGGCGGAAGCAAGATGATCCAAGTAAGAATGAATTACTAGCTAGTTAACTCGCATTCCCTCAACCTTAATTTCCTCTACATGACAGCGATTGTTGATTGATTTCATAGTAGTATATGATATTGCTGATGCGAGTTATATGCGATAATGCTCAACAAATTCAGAAGATAATGATGGAAGCTTTCATTCAGCAGCAGCTAATGAGAGTGATGAGAGTGGACCTGTTCAAGGAAAGGGTGCGAGGAGTCGTGTCCCTATTGGGCCAAATCATCAGGCTAAGTTACCAGATTGTACATTTGGCAAGAAAGACGGAAATGTTGCTGAGGACTCTGCTGATAGTCTCTCATGTCTTTATCTCGGTAGTGATAGGACTGAAAACATCAGCAACAATCAGGCTCCTGTGCGGTAAGTCCAACATTATTGTTCAATTTCCTGTCCTTTCTAGTATCCTTTGATATCTCATACAGTGTAATGTGCAGCAGCTCTGTTCTTCATCCAACCGATAGTATGCCAACTGATGCCATGCCACTGCTGTTGACTCCAACATTGGGGCCTCCCATTGATGCTCCTCAGCCAGAAACGACAGCGGTCGTTCATGAGTCCGCTGGAGAGGCATCGACCACGTCATTTGACTGGTCGAAGTTAACAGAGATGGGGTACCGGGCGGTGGAGGTGATCCAGACTTGGAGCAGCGAAGTCAAGCTTCTTAAAACCATATTCGTGGAAGAGAAAGACAGGAATGAGCATCTTAAGACCATGCTCGGGGAGGAGAAAGACAAGAATGAGCACTATAAGACCATGCTCGCGAAGGAGAAAGACAAGGCCGAGCACCATAAGAACATGCTCGAGGAGGAGAAAGACAATAACAAGCGCCTTAAGACCATGCTCGTGGAGGAGAAAGACAAGAACAAACACCATAAGATCATACTCGAGGAGGAAAAGGACAAGAACGAGCGTCTTAAGACCATGCTCTCAGAGGAGAAAGTCAAGAACGAGCACCTTAAGAGCATGCTCGCGGAGGAGAAAGACAAGAACGAGCGTCTTCAGCTCAGACTTCACGGGGAGGAAAAAGATAAGAATGAGCTCCTAAAGACCATGCTCGCGGAGAAGAAAGACAAGAATGATCGCCTTCAACTCAGTTTTCCAAAGAACGAACACCTTCCACTTGGTCTTCAGAGAGTGCATACCAGGTTGGACGAATGCATAGCCTTGATCGACAGAATTACTCAGAAAGACACGGTTTTTCTGGAAATGTTATAGAAGGTGGAATAAAGAAGAACTGAAGGTGTGAGTCGTAGATTTGAAGTATGGCAACTTTGCAGTTGAGCAAGCTGGCTGTAGTGTATTGTAAAAAATGGTCGTGTATCGCTTGATTTCTGCTATGTTGCCGTTCAGCACAGGCACAGCAGTCTTGGCAGCAACCAAAGCGATTTTTTGTAGGAAATTAAACTTGGGTATCAATGTGAAAAGGGAAGTGCTGAATTTTTGGCAACTAAAGTAAACAACTTTTAGAACTAAAATTCTTCTGCGTGGTCAAAATTTACACCAACTTACATGCTTGCACCACATCAAACATACGTTCTGCCTGAGAGGACCATGTACTCCCTCTGTGCCACAAAAAGTCGAATTCTGGAGGGAAGAGTTTGTCCCAAAAAAATCGACTCTTGCAGAAAACCAAAAACATCCCACAAAAAGTCGAATTTTAGAGGGGGGAGTTTGTCCCACAAAATATAGACTCCTGCGCAGAAAACCAAAAACGTCGTCTTGGTGTACATCGATGGGCCCATGACCTCTCTCTCCTCTCCTCACATTCACATCACTCGAGCCTTATCCCCTCCCCGGGCCCTGGCATCTCGTTCTCTTGCGAGTTCGCACTCCTCCAAAATCCCGCATCCAGTTCCCCTCCTCACTCCGTCCATCTCTCCCGCTCCTCCCCGCACCTTCCTCCCTGCTCCATGCTGCTCCCGCTTCTCCCGCCTCTCCTGCTTCTCCGTGTCCACCTAGTTGCGGCCACGCGGATGCGGCGGCGGAGGGTTACGAGCAAATAGATCTGATGCGGGAGGCGGATCTGGTAGAAGGGTTCGGCTCTCCAGCGGCGTTCATGGCAGTGGCGGAGCGGTATATGGCTTTGATTCAAGAGACGCGAGCCAAGGGGAGGAAGCATGTTGTCTTGCAGTTCTGATCCAGGAGGCGGCGGCGACCGCGACGGCGGGTGGAGGTGACTCGGATGCGACAGCGGCTTCGGAGGTGTGTAAGGCGGTGGATATGATGCACAAGGCGGAGGCGATAGATGGATGCGGTGCTGTTGGCGGATCTGATGCAGATTTATTTTCTTCGTTGTTCTTGGTTCTTCTATGTTCTTGCTTGTGAATCCAGAGCATTTCTTCTTTTTTTTTCTTTTCAAATTGGAGAAATGTCTCTTCTTTATGTAGTATAAAAATCCAACTTAATTTTGTCCCTTTTTTATGAGACAGATGCCTCCTATATGTACTGGAGTACTTATTAATAGTGAGGGTATTTTGGTATTTCCACTTTAGTCCTTAACTTGTATTGGGAATTATGAATCGACTCTTTCCGGGACGGATGGAGCCTTAATCAGAGGACAATCAATCCTCCCCAAGAATCAAAATATGAAGGCGGCAAGTGTTAGGATTAGAGATATGAGGGGTGTTTTTCTGCTAAAAGTGGAGTAGGCACTAGGCAGCCCCTGCAGTTAAATGCCCCTCTAAACAAATGTCCCCAAAATCTAGCACAGTTGGTACAAGAAGCTACAGGCCTTCCCGCAAAAAAAAAAAAAAAAAAAGAAGCTACAGGCCTACCCCGTACGGCAGAAGAGTCACGCACTCACGCTCTGTTTTTCCCCATCCCTCAAGAAGATCGATTCCTCCTCCACTGGTCCTCTCCCCTTCCTCCAATCCTCCCCTTATCTGCGCAGGATCTCGGAAGCAGGTAAGTCTCATCGATCTCTCCCCCCTCACTGGATTCTTGATTTCTCTTGTGATAGAGCCGGATAAATCTCAACCCATAAACCCTAGTAGAGTATAAACTTTGTTCCATTAACTTTGTTTCATTGATTCATTCCCTGCAAGCTTCGCTTGTGGTCCTAATCCGGAGTTGTTTGGCGTCAAAATGCTGGTGGTGATCTTCCAGACCGGAGGAGCAGGGCCCGATTCATATCCATCATCGGTATCGATGGCGAGAGGCAGAGGGGGCAGGACGAAGGGAGGTTCAGTGGGTCACAGCGGCAAGAGGGGCAGGCCCAGCGCCATGGCGGAGGAGCCGGAGGGAGGAGCAGCGCGCAAGCGGAGGAAGCAGGATGACCCAAGTAAGAACGAGCTCGTGTTAGTTACTACTCAGCTTTCATTTCTTCCACATTGATTTGATCTCCACATGTATATTAATTAACATATATGATGTTATATTTCTGTGGAAATTGTTTTGGTATATAGGAGTACAAGATAGTAGCAGCAAATTGTTGATTGATTTGATTCTAGTACCTTCTTTTATCCCTTAAGCTCTATCGAAATTGATTGGTATTCAGAAGACAGCAATTGTTGATTGATTCGATGTTAGTATTATAGAAATTGATTGGTATGCAGACGACAGTAATTGTTAATTGATTCAATGTTAGTATACGGTAATGCTGATGTAAGTTTTATAAGATAATTATGCTCACCACGCAGAGGATTCTGATGGAAGCTTTCATTCACCAGCTAATGAGAGTGGTGACACTGGACCTGTTCAAGGAGAGGGCGTGAGGAGATGTCCCAATTGGGCCAAATCATCAGGCTAAGTTACCAGATTGTACATTTGGCAAGAAAAAGAGCAGTGTCGCCGAGGACTCTGCTGATAGTCTCTCATTTCTTTATCTCGGTAGTGATTGGATCGAAAACAAAAGCAACAAGCAGGCTCCTGTGCGGTAAGTCCTACTTTACTGTCGAATTTCCTCTCCAGTATCCTTTGATTTCTCATATAGTATAATGTGCAGCAGGTTTGGTCCTTGTCCAGCCGATAGTAATGCCATGCCGCTGCTGACTCCATCATCGGGACCTCCCACTAATCCTCCTCGGCCAGAAACAACAGTAGTTGTTCATGAGTCCGCGGGAGGGGCCTTGAGCTCGTCATTTGACTGGTCAAAGTTGGCAGAGATGGCGCAGCAGGCAGCAGAGGGGATCCACACTTGGAGCAGTGAAGTCGAGCGCCTTAAGACCAACCTCACAGAGGAGAAAAACAAGAATGAGTGCCTTAAGATCATGCTCGTGGACGAGAAAGACAACAATGAGTGCCTTAAGACCAACCTTGCGGAGGAGAAAGATAAGAACGGGCTCCTTAAGACCATGCTTGCGGAGGAGAAAGACAAATATGAGCGCCTTAAGACCATGCTCGCGGATGAGGAAGACAAGAACAAGTGCCTTAGGCCAACCTTGCAGAGGAGAAAGACAAGAACGAGCACCTTAAGGCCACACTTGTGGAGGAGGAGGACAAAATTGGGCACCTTAAGACCATGCTCACAGAGGAGAGAGACAAGTGTGAGCGCCTTAAGACCATGCTCGCTGATGAGAAAGACGAGAACGAGCGCCTTAAGATCAACCTTGCAGAGGAGGAAGACGAGGATGAGCCACTTAAAGGCATGCTCGTGGGTGAGAAAGACAAAAATGAGTGCCTTAAGACCATGCGCAGCAGCTCTGGTCCCTGCCCATCCTTTACATTGACTGATGCCATGCCACTGCTGACTCCAACATCTGGACCTGCCGTTGACACTCCTTGGCCAGAAATGACAACAGCCATTCGTGACTCCGCAGGAGGGGCCCCGACCACGCCATTTGACTGGTCGAAGTTAACAGAGATGGCTCAACAGGCGGTAGAGGTGATCCTGACACAGACGAGTGAAGTGGAGCACCTTAGAGCCACGCTTGTGGAGGAGGCGAACAAAATCGGGGACCTTAAGACTATGCTTGTGGAGGAGAAAGACAAGAACGAGCACCATAAGACAATGCTCGAGGAGGAGAAGGACAAGAACGAGCGCCTTAACACCATGCTCGTGGAGGAGAAAGAAAAGAACGAGCGCCTTCAACTTAGTCTTCACCAAGCAAACACCAAGTTGGGGCAATCTATGCCCTATGCCGATGTTTTGGGCATTTTGGATAAGTCGATTGACAAAGCATTTCAGAAACGTGACATGAAAAAATCGTCATGGAAAAAGTTGTAGATAAAGTATGGTACGATCTGTGTAATTGGATATGCAGCTGTAGTATTTTGTCATGGTTGTGCATCGCTAGATTTCTGCTAATCTGCCGTTCGGCACAGCAGTCTGGGCAGCAACCAAAGCCTGGATTATACCTAGCCGCGTCCGATAGTCCAAGACCGAGATGAAGGAGAAAGTAATCCAGGTGGTCAGTGCTCTGATACTTTTTCTGGAGTGTTAGGTCCATAGTTCACCTTGTTATGGATACTTGTGTGCTGTACTATGTACAGCCCTGTATCAGGATTGGTGGCTTCGAGTAACTATTTTTTGTTAGTAACTTTAGAACAAAATTTGTTGACCGAAAATTTTCGTTGCCAAATATTTTTCTTGAGTTGACAGTTAATTGAACTTGGACAATCAATTCTCCCCAAGAATCAAAATGATAATCCTTCTGGGGAATGAAAAGTATTTTCTTTGAGTTAAGCTGTTCTAGGCTTCACATGAAAGATTCTTTACTGATTGAAGATTGCAATTCTATGTTTAATCCTTTTCTTGGCTAGCCAAGCTTTTTTCTTCATGCATAAGAAGCATAAACCAGTATATCAGAAAGAGTGCAATAGATTATACTTTTCTCGACAAGAAAGTGACTTGTAGAACATGTAAAATTGGATGGTCATTTATGTTCTGGGCTAAAGCCTGAAGATGATTCAAACTGAAGATTGAGCTCAAGCCTGAAAATTGTACGACTCCAATTGATAGTTGGGGTTGCAATTCAGAGTTGGAGGAAGTGTAGAGGAAAGGGATCTCTAAATGGGATAAGGCTTCCAATATTCCTCAAGTGAAAATAGGTACCTCCAACATTGTATTTTACTTCCAGTCTATAAGCTACTTTGATCCACAATTTACGGACCATTTTTCTGTTTTCAGTTTCATACTGGTTGGTGCTACACGTTTCTTATTTATTACGCATCCTTTCCTTTCTACTGTTCTTTAGTCAAATGGTATTTAGCAGTGCTTTTTACTGCTCTTTGTTTCTTTTCGTTTTATTCTGCAAACTTGCCATTGTGTTGTCTTATGCCTGTTAAGTGTCAGCCCCTTTCTTTAATTTTATCTATAAACATGACTTCAAATTTGTTTCTGTGATTATTTGCAAAAAAAAAAAAAATTCTGTGAAAGTCTTGAGAAGGATAAACATTTCCCTTGCAAAGGAATTTCCATTGTAATTGTGTATTTCACAAACAGTGAGGGTTAAATGTTGTATCCACATTTTCTTTCTGGGCCTCTGTAAGCAGTTGTCTATGCTACTGTCTTTGCCTTAAGATCATATTTTATATTTTCCAATGTTCTTAACTTTCGTTGTATAACCAATTAATTTACTCCTGACACTCATCGATGGATAAACTACAAAACCTCTGCATGTTTAATCATGGGAAAGGAATGCAGCAAAAGGACTTAAAATATGCTGTGGTAAGTCATTTTGAAGAAACATGAACAATCTATGTGCTCCCTTTTACTTTTTTTTTTAGATAATGAGAATCAATTCATTGAAATGAAATTACACCCGGCAAACGCATCAACTAGGGATGCACACAACCTGAAAATGAAAAAATAATTAAGATATATACTTTTCTTAACAGGAATTAACTTCTAGGACTTGAAAATGGCAGTCATCTTAGTAGATTACCAAGTTGAATTCCAGAGGAATTCGTCATGGCACGGCGCACACCATCGAGTGCCAATTCAGGAGATGAATTAAACTGGCCAAGAATTGCAGCAGATATGCACATCAGTAACATCGCCAAATGTTAATTACAAATTTATAGGTCTTAATCTTCTGCGTGCATGTCAATCTCTATGACTGTATCTTCATGGATGAGTTCACCTCGTCCATCAATAATCTTCTGAAGCCGGCATGTAAATTATAACTATATCCAGAGACTTATGAGAGCATGCATGAAGCAGTCCTCTGATTTTTGGTTTTGTATTCACCTGACTGTCTGAAGTGTTGGTTAATTTACCATAATTATCTTATAGATAAGGACAGTGAAAGCTATAGTTAGACTGCCACATCATGCATATAGACCAGTTCTCTGATTCATGTGCTTATTACTGTAACGTTTCTTATCTTGTAGTTTGCCGGATTAGTAGTTTTGATGCAGTCACTCCAATTGCGATGGTTTGCAAAAGCATAGACGCTACAGTTTTGATTATTTTGCCTCAGGTAGAAACAAGAAACATGGATTTAGGTGGACACAGTCTTTTCTTAGCCTGTTCTTGTTATGTTGCTTCTTGATTGGTATTGATATGGTCCATAAATTTTTTTTTTGCCCTTTGTAATTATTTGCGGTAAGCCTATATTGTCATCAGATCACTGAACTCTTCAAATCTATCGTAATGTATATATTCATTCATGATTCATGGCATACATGCAAGCGTGTGAATGAACTAGCTTGTGTATTACTAATGGTGCCTTTGTTGATTAGGATATACTTAAAATTAATTTATTTATGTTCTTTTTCTCTGCTAATTGGCAATTCTCTTTAATTTGCTATTTTCTGTACAATAACTTTTTAATAATAGGTAGAGATCCGGCATCTATATCCACAAGTGGATATATACAACCCAAAAGTTATAATCAGGGGTACTTAGACCCTAAGCTTAACAATTGAGGAGAAAAAGAAAAAGAGTTGCTCCCTTCGTTTTATATTATAAGTCGTTTGATTTTTTTCCTCAAATTTTTTTAAGTTTGATTAAATTTATAGAAAAATACAGTACTCTATCTGTTTCATATTATAAATTGTTTGACTTTTTTCCTAGAAGTTGTTTAGATTGATGCTATTTTCAATCATACTATTTTTGACAAAGTTGTAAAAAAATATCTACATTTAGTTTATTGTCAAACTTTGGTAAATACATAAGAAATCATGTCAAAATTTTGGTAATATTGCCAACTTGGTAATGTTTATTTTGGTTACAATCTGAACAACCTCATGGTCAAACTTAGTTTGACCAAGTTTATAGCTAGAAAAATATAGTAGTAATTTCAACACAAAACAAATAAATTATCAAAATATATTCAATATTAGATTTAATGAAACTAATTTAATATTTTAGATGTTACTAATTTTTTCTACAAACTTAGTCAAACTTAATAGAAAAAAAGTCAAATGACTTATAATATAAAACGGAGGGAGTAGTAGACTAAGAGCAGTTATAATAGCAAGCTATAAGCCAGCTATAACCACATATCAAGAAGAACAGAGAGGAGAGAGAAGAAAGCGGGCTACAGATTTATAGTCGGCTGCAACACGGACTCCAAAACATGTGTGTATGAGAGGTGGGACCGGATATTAATGGTATAGTATATTTTTATAGTTAACTATTGTATGAATGGGCTATTATATTAGCTATAGTCGTTGTTTTGGAGCCAACGGTTAGTTATACTATTAAACTTAGCAAGTTTAATAGTATAGCCAACTACTAGCTCCAAATCATATATAACCAATGTAATAGCTAATTCATACAATAGTTGCTTACTATACTATTAATACCTGGTCCCACCTGTCATATACACATTACGTTTTGGAGTCCGTGCTACAGCTAGGCACAGATCTGTAGCCCACTGCTCTTCTGTCTCTTCTTTTATCTTTTAAAAATATGTTTATAGCTAGCTTATAGTATGCTATTATACCTGCTCTTAAGGGGAAAAAAGTTGAAGACCTTGCTAATCCTTGCAACAATGATACACCACATCGCTCGTTTATCTAGAAATATTGATGTTAGAATTGTCCTTTCTAACATCAATTATTGTATAAGTGCATTTTGAAAGAGTATAAACGAAAGCATTGAATTGGGCTCACTTATCTGGGGCCATTTGTTGTTGTTGGTAGATGTGTTGCTTACCCTGGAATTGTTCAGCACTTCAGCTATATCTTGGTGCTTACTCATTTCTCTTTTTTATGGTTTGTCCACTTATTAGTGTCACAGTTAGATAGCTCACTCAAGAAGACTCGGTATAATGATAGTTACGTACTTACACCCATTTTTTTTCAGACTGAAACATTCTACATCGCTATAGCCATGCATTGGACTGGTCCAAATTTAATTAGGCATGCATGACCACTTTTAATTGTCTCACACTTGAGATATTTAGCGAATCTTCTTGTGATGTGTCATTATCTAGTCATATGAATTTTTAATTTGCATCATATAACTGCAAAAATGAAAAACTGTAGTTCTTTTTTTCGAGAGGCTACTGCAATCAGCTGAACACCAAGGTTGCAGGTAAGGTTGCTTACTTGCTTTGCATCGCTTTCGTTCTCACAGATCCATCACAAAAAGGTTTATGTATAAATAGCTAATTAACACGTTGCGTCAGGAAAAAGGTACACCTAGAATAAGTCCACTGTTTGCTGGAACTGCCGGATTTATCATAAAAAAATCACATCTTTTTTCAGCTACAGAAAACATAAAGGTGGTAGCCTGAGATACTGACGATCTTTGCATGACCGGGCAGACTCTTATATTTGTTTGATTGCTAAGTCTGATTGCTCCCTTAATCAGACAGTAAAAAAGATGTTTTGTAAAAAAAAAATACGTTGTTCAGTAACCTAAGGTGCAGCCATTTGGTAACTATGACATTGACAGGTAAGAGCAACATTATTGCAAATATAGTTGGGGACTATACAAATTATAGTGCTCTTACACGTACTGTAGCAATTAAAACAGCATGTGAAAAAAATGTTATATTTCTGTAAGTCGGTTTTAGAAATCGACAGATTACTCAAAAATGTTACTATTTGAGTATGCTATGAAAAAAATGTTACTATTCTTTTGAGTAGGCTACAAAATCCACAGAAATTTGGCAAGCAGGGGCACCTCTTTCCTTCCTGCCTCTTGCTTCAATGATGTCACCCTCTAATTGATTGTCGTCGTGCTCTCACCATGCACTTAGGGCAATAGCAATGCGTCCTTCATTATTATGTCCTTCATTTCGTTTGGCCCGGGCTGCCAAGTAGACCTCAAGAACTTCAAAAGACACAAGACCCACAGTGCATTTTGGCCTTAAACTGGATCCATAAAAATCTGAAGACAAGAATTCCCCATCTTTATCTTCGTTGCGTAGACTCCACCACCGACGCCATTTACCGCCTCGTTTTCTTCTCGGTTCCCACGGTGCCGCTCCCCTTTGCCACATTACCGACACAGCTCCTCCCCCTCTCCCCCGCTCCCCTTCTCCAGAAGCGACGCTACTCTCCCTCTCCCACTGGCGACGCCTCTCTTCCTCCCTAGCTCTACCGCTCCCCCTCGCCATCTCCGCAGCTTGACTGAGCTGGAGACGACTCGACGACGGACACTCCATGCCCCTCCTCGCCAGATCCGGGATAAGAGTCGCCAAATCTGGCCTTGGAAGGTGGCGGTGGCACGATGACAGCTGTCCAACGCCCCCCTTCACGGCAGGGGCAGCCTCGACGATGGCGGGGCGGCCTCAACGAAGGTGGTTGCAGCTCGACGACGGTGGGGGTGAGGGGATGGCCGTGGCTT